CAGCCCTGTCTGTGGGAGAGCTCCAGGCTGTGCTGGGAGCAGGCCAAGCAGGCAAAGTGCCCTTCCCTGCAGCGGGGAGGGTCTTTGGGCAGGAAGGATGTCTTCTCCCCTAGGTTATGTTACTCTGCGTTGGTGGCAGCCAGTCCTTGCCCCAGAGGAGATGGTGGTTTCATCAGACTCTGTTTCTGGTGGGGCTTGTGCATTGTAATTGCTTTTTTTTTAAAAAAAAAAACACTTCTTTGCAATTTCATGGAAGTATCTTAAGGACACTTTTTTTTCATTAATTTAAGAAATTGATTTCCTTTTATTCTGTGAGTCATTTTTCTAATGAAAAGTTTTGCTCCTTCAGTACCGCTTTTTATATCTGTTCTAAGAAACTTCTAAAGCTGTCAGCCTGGGGAGGGCTGCATCTACTTGTAGGGTCAGGCTGCCAAACTAACCAGAATATCTAAGGTTGCAGGAGATACGATCAGAATTGCTCAAGTCATGTGGGATTTAGCATTGCTGCAGACGCACCTCGGAAAACACAGAGCGGCAGCAGGAGTAAACAAGATGAACATCTTCAGGAAAGCTGTTAGAGTGACTCTGTCCTCATGGAAAGCGCTCGGATCCTGCTGTGATGGGCACAGTGTGGATGTGAAAGGTGGCGTGGGCTGCCTTGAGCGCTCCAGCGTCCGTCGGTTGCTAACTGAATTGGCCGTACGATCTTCGTTGTTCTGAATGCGTGTTCTCCACGCACTGGGCTTGACTCGAGGGTTTAACAATGGTTGCTCAGTGCCCTTCCCTCACAAATGGCTGTTTGTTTCCCACACTCAAGTGTTGAGTGGTGACGAGGATTAATGTGCCCAGCTTAGCATGGGTGCTTGCGAAGTGGCCCATGACTGGTGAGAGGAGAGATGAGCTGGGTGGAGAAATTTCTTGGGGTTGTTTTGTGCTCTGACGCCATTTCACATCATCCTCGCTTTGCGAATTGGGTGTATTAGCCCTGTGTCCCGGCCAAGTCGTATTTTGACCCTTCCTTGGGATTTCCACAGCCTTACTTGTCAGACTCCTATTCAAATGGCTGCTGCCCCCCACCCAAAGACAGTTCACATCCCTGGTGAATAAAGATGGTTTTTATTTTTTCCCCTCTGTCCTTGTAAGGCGTTCGTTTGCGAGGTAACGATGACATGTGGCGACTCGTTCGCTCTTTCTAGTCACCTGCGGATAGAGAGCTGGCACTAAAACCAGCTGGGTGGGAAGCGGAGCGCGGCAGAGGGTGCTCTCGGGTGCCTGTGGAGCCCGTCTGCAAGCGCCGCTCGCAGCCACGGCGGGGGGGAACCCAGCCTTACCATTGGGTGAAGCAACCACCTCTGCAGGCCAGGAAACGAGCTGCGCTGTGCGCTGCATGGTATCTGCTCAGAGCTGCCTGCCCTCGAAGGAGCTAAAGACGAGTGGGAGAGCTCCGATCAAGATGTTTGAAATGTCCGGGAACCCCTAACCAGGAATCATTACGTGGGATAAAAGTGAATTCTCCAGGTTGGCTGGCAAGGAAGAGAGCATGATCGGATTCCCGCTCTTCACACTCACCGGCTTTTGAGTTTCTGCAGAGTAAGTGCTGTTTGCTTTCTTCCTGGCAAGCTTGGGTATCTGCAACTAACCCCGGGGGTTGAAAAAGACTTAAAAAAACCCCAAGCTCGATCCATATAGAAATTGCAGCGTTGTCAGAGACGCTGTTGCAGCGAGCTCGACTGGACAGGCAGGATTCCTACGCTGCAGCGGGGAAGCATCGGCTGGCTTCACCTTTCAGTCGGCTGCGAGGAGGGCTGCAAGCTTTGCGCCGCTTAATGCTTTGTGCTCTGGAAGCATTTGGGCTTAAAAGGGAAGAAAAGGTGGTTTGGCTGCGCTGCTGGGCTCCGCAGCTTGAGTCAAGGGGTTGAGTGGGAACCAGTTGCTTTCATGGTGAATGAATTCTGGAGTTCAGAGGCGTGGGGCTTTGCTTTTTTCAACAGAAAAAAAATCCAGTTGTCTTGTGGGGAGGGGGACTAGATTTATTTTTTTTTTTGCTGGCGTGGGGAAGAGCTCTTGGGGAACTGCTGAGCTCCTGGCTGCAGGTGAGGAGGCTTGAGAGAGTGCGGTCATTGAAATGCTCTCCTCTGTAAACCTGAAATGATGTAAAACTGCTGAATTTGTGGCAAGAAAAGCACTGTGGCAGGCAAGAAAACTTGCATCTCCGTAACACGCCCATCCTGTATTTTGGAATCTGGCTTCCCATAACTGCAGCACTGAGGTCTGACCAGAGCTGGTGTCCGGCTCAGCTCTGCAGAAAATCTCTCCAGCAGGTTCTCGACTTCTGCTTAGAGGTGCATTTCACCGCCCAAGCGAGTGTTCCCAGCAACTGCGGGAGGGCGGGAAGGAAGAAAAACACTGAAATGATGTTGGCCTCGACCAAAGCCGCGCGGTGCGAGCAGGCGGGTCACTTACTTTAACGTTTTAAAATTCGATCTTCACAAAAGCCACTCCAGCACACGCGTAGCCACCAGGACTAATGAGAAGCCTGCACCCGCGTTTTGTGACATTTGGGTCTGGCGTTTAGAAATCCAGCTGGCCCTTGCTAGACGGAACGCCTCCGGAGGAGCTGGGTGGTGAAATCTCTCCCTCCCGCTGTGGAGTCACCAGTGAAGTGGGTGAGATCTCGTGCCTGCTCCGTGTTTCAAACAGTCTTAAAATCTACTGATTGCATCCCATGGTCCAGGGCAGGTTCAGGGTGGCTGACTTAACTGGTGCGGGGCTTTCACTTTTCATAATTGAAAAGAAAAAAAAAAAGCTCTACTTCTGCTTCTTGGGACTTTTTTTCAGTACAACTCCCCGAGGTGCCTGAGCTGTGTTTGCTGCAGCCATGGTGGCAATCAGTGATGGAAATCACCTTGTGATGTTTGTCCTGGTTTCTTGCAAATCGGCTTTCAGTAGTTTCGTAGACTTTCTTCGCGTCACCCCGCGCTGAACGCTGCGTGCGGTTTTATCTGGGAGGATGAATCAGAAGCCAGGCAGAATCCTCAGCAGCAGCGCTTAATTTTGCAGTAAATTCAATCTTGGTTTTGTGAAGCCCAGCTGGGAAACTTGTGCCTTTTGTAGGAATCCTAAAAATCATCCGTGTCCTGGAGTAACAAACCAGCTGCCTTGGTCGTGGCTGTGCTCAGGTGTGGGCGCTATCGCCTCCTCGGTGGGCTGGGGGTGTGCGCCGCACGTACGCAACGGCTGCGACTGCGCTCGGCTTCAAAGCCACCTTGGCTTGTGGAGCCAGCGCGTTACGAAATGCCGTCTGCTGAGTCTCCTGCCCCAGAGAATGGCCCCGGGACTGGGAGATCAATAACTTTATTGGCAGAAAATTTGGGTGTACGTTTGAGGTCTGTTTGAGACTTTGCCTTGCAAATCTGCTGGGTCCTACCTGAGTGACTTCGGTCGGGCATTGGATTTTCCTCTCAATTTTGGAAGAACCAATGTGTCGACCCAAGAAGTGGCTTCTCCCAGTGACCGCTGAGCCTGAACCAGCGTGCACTGGGCATTTGTACAGGTCAGAAATCCAGGAGCAACCACCGACCTCCTGCAGAACCGAAAGTAGGTCAGAAGAATTTCTCTGCATTCGTTTCAGCTTAGGAAGCCTCTCCCTTCGTTCTTCAATCTTAAAAATTCAGGGATGGAAAATCCACCCGCTTTGGGATAAGCTGCCCCGTGCGTGCCTGCCTCGGCGCGCTAAAGGCTCGCACTTCGCTTCTGACATAACACCAGCCCTCAGCCATCACACCTCGGTATAGTTTGGTTCTGCGAACCCTCAGAGCCTGCTCAGTCCGGCCCCGAACGCAGTCGCTTCTGCAGCCTGCGACCCGGTCGCGCTAATGAGCTAAACAAGTTCAGCGAGGACCGGCTAAAGCGCCTGCCCGTGTTGCAGGGGATCCGGATAATTAATGTATGCTCAGACAGAAAAGCAGTGTTGTCTAATTAAAACGTCGTTGGAGAGGGAGCAGCCTTCCCTTCCCAGCTCTGATCTAAGCCAGTCCGTCGAGCTCGGTTAGTCCCTAAAACCTCCCCCTCTCATTTTCCCCGTTGAAGTAATTGCTCTCCGGGGGTTAAGGCTGCAGTCAGGGAAGTTTCCAAAGGCGTGGGAAGTTCTTGGATAAAAGGGTGCTACAAGTGGGCAGGGACTTGCTGGTTATTGGGGTGAAGATGCGCCGAAGATGCTGCCGTGTGGCACGGGGTGCAGGGCAGCGCGGAGCGAGGTCGGTCCCTCGGTGGGCGCCGACCTCCCCGCTCGCCCTCGGGCTGCTGTAGGACCCGAGATTCACGTGAGGCAGGGTGCCTGCTCACCGGAGCTCCTCTGGCCTTTGTCATCTGGATTAAGATACGTAAGAGCGGGGCCGTTCCCCGTGTCTTCTTCGAGCCGTGCTTTACTCCGGTGCTGGGGAATCGCCTCGATCTCTCTGTGGATGCTGGCACGCAGATCTCTAGTAGCAGGCCAGCCTTTTTGGGGAGCGGCGCATGCACTGAGCCGGGCTTGCACTGAGCCGGGCTTGCGCAGAGCTGGGCTTGCACAGAGCCAGGAGCAGCAGCCGCCGTCTTGACGCTGGTGCAGGTGAAGTGGTGTCAGCTTTTGCTTTGGGTTTTGCAGCACACTGAGGGCTGAGTGGGGACAGGGATGATGGGATGGGGTGTCACCCAGAGCCCCCCGGGAAAGGTGCGGGATCCTGATGGGCTGGGAAGCGTCTGCTCTTTGTCTGGCTCCCCGGCACCTTCGTGCCACTTGCTCTGGCCTTGCTGCTGCCGTGGTTTGCAGGGGAGGATCTTTTTCCTTGAATAAGGAGCAGGGAGGAAAGCTAGCTTTGGGCCAGGTTGGCTGGGCTGGGCTGGGCTGGGCTGGGCTCAGCCCCCCAGGAGCTCACCGCTGCAAACGGCGTGACGCTGGTGATGCTGGCAGCACCATCGCTCCCACATGGGATTTTCTCCCCAGTGACTCTGCAGGTCCCATGGCACGGGTGGACAGGGCCAAAACCTGCGGGTTTTGGTTGGAGGAGGAGAGGATGAGACCTGCTGAGGAAGGAGGGTGTCCCGGTGCGGGCCACCAAGCCTGGTGTGAGAGGAGGGAGAGGCGGCTGCGAGGCTGAAGCTCACCCCGCTTCCGGGAAGCTGAGTCATCTGTTTGCCCGTCCCGTCTGGGACACCCCACGGCCTGTGCTGGGGAGCGATGCCACCCCCGTCCTGCAGCCTGGGGAGGTGTTCAGGTGTCCCCAGGAAGCACACTGGCACTTTTGGGATGGCTCCAGAGGGTCCTCAGGGCCCCTGGGCATCTCCTTTTCAACATCTTGGTGGTGACTTGGGAGCTTGAATCCTGTTGGGTTTGCTGGTTTGGAGTTTGTTTGATTTTTTTTTTTTTTTTTAAAAAGAACCAAAATCTGAAGTTTTTCCAGGGGGTGGCAGAGCACCCGCTGCAGGGCGTCCGCACCAGGCTGGGCAGAGCCGTGGAGGCGTCGCGCTGGCCCCGGGGAGGGCAGGGGCTGGCCAGAAAAAGGGGG